TCGGAGGTACGCATGCGCAGAGAGCTAGTGGGGAGGGGGTAAGGAGCACGCATGCGTAGAAGGCTAGTTGGGAGTACGCATGCGCAGAGTTGTGGTTTAGTCTGCGTGCGCAGTGCTGGTTGAGGACGTACGCATGCGCAGAGGGCCAGTAGGAGGCTACGCATGCGCAGGCTAGGAGGCACGCATGCGCACAGGGCTGGTGTACGTAGACGTCGAGTGCTAGTCAGGTTTACGCATGCGTAGAAGGCTAGGTGGGATATGCATGCGCAGAGGGCTAGGCAGAGGGCGAGTGGGAGTACGCATGCGCAGAATGCTGGGGTGTATCCAGAAGCTTTAGCCCGCATGCGCAGAGGGCTAGCCGGGATTACGCATGCGCAGAGGGCGAGTAGTGGGTACAGCATCTGCAGCCTTCAGCAAGAATGAGTGGTTTTGTCTTTAGAAATTTATGTAGGAATGGATGTCCGAACATTTAAGAACAGTAGCAAAGGAAGAGAAATAAACGTTTGTATCTCCCTTAAGGTAAATTGTTTATTTCATCCACTTCAAACCCTCCACAAACATCTCTACAGGCTTCAGTGCAAAGAAAGGAACCGTACAGATAGCAGTACGAGGATGTTAGAAGAACAGAACAGAATAGAAAGAAACAAATTACATTTTAAAATATGGAAATACGAGACAAAAACCAGTAGAACACCACATTTAAGGGGCAGGGGGGTGGTTACAGCTTAAAACAGCAGAAAGTATTCTAGGCTACCAGGACAAGCACAGCAGAAGGCAGACTACAAGCACTCTGCAGGGAGTGTTGGTTCACACTGGGTTCTCATCCACTTTTTCTAGAGCACAGAAAGGATTTTAAACTTGACTACACGTACCCACCTTTTAAATATCAGCAATGCACATTTTTTTTTGCAGTCACATCTAAAGAATATGCATGTTTTCTATATGTGTGTTCACAAAAAGCTATGGAAACATCTTCCTAAGTCACAGTTGCAGGCAGTTATTCACTCCGATCCTTTGGCTCTCGGTATTTCCACTGGATGTAGTCAAAGATGTCTTTCTCACATTCTACTGGTAGGGCTTCCCCGGCGACTCCTGCAAGCATATTACAGATGCTGTTTGAAAGGTGGAAATTCCATCTAATCCTGGACTGTCAAATGCATTGCAAGATCAAGACAATCCGCTGTAAGCGAAATGCATTTGCAAGTGAAATGATAAGCACCAAAAAACACACGGGAAAAAAGCCCAACCCCCACAAAAAGCCACCACCACAAACACCACCCACACAGTTTTTCACCCAATATTTAGGTATTCATCCTCAGTGTCAGAAGAAAGAAAATAATTAACTGCGGAGCTATAATGTTTATAGAGTTAAAAAATATACACACAATTTGCAGTCAGGGCCCCTCCCCCCAATGGGAAACAACTGAAAGATATAAATCACATTAAAAGAATGAGAAAGTATGTGCTGTGCATTGCACAGCAAATCCAAACTGTAGTTCAGTTAAGACCAGGTAGATTAGGTGTCCTGATGTGCTTATTTTGTTGCACAATGCTGTCTATACATTAGTAGCTTGCTTCTCTCTGCTAAAATGGTTTACAGTTCCAGGAAGGACAGAGTGAAAAATTTTGTTAATTATAGTATTTGCCAAGATTTCCAATTGAGAAAATGATTAAAGGAGAGGATCACACAAGACGTGCAACTAGAAAGAATACTGTTTAAAAGCCCAGACTGACCAGTGACACCCAAGGGACGGATTGTGTACTCGTTGATTGTGAAGCCCATTTCCAGAGCATGGGCTCTCATGTTCTTATTGAATATATCACTGCCTGTGAAATACAGTACACCACAGTAATACTGATCCTTAGGGATAAGCCTAGAATAAAAAGAGAAGAGAAATATATATTCAGGACAAATATGAAGCTACAAGCCATTTGGAATTCAGCCACTTAAAAAGGGAGCAAATCTAGAACAGTGCTCACAAGCACACATTCTGGAATTCTGTACATTTGATTCTTTCAGATGCCCAATTCAAGAATGAAGTACATATCAGAGAAAAGTACAACACATCTAACCTGACTCATAACTTATTGTTACAATGCTTCATCAAGTAGGTCACAATTTTGAAACTGGATACAAAGCCATGATTTCAAATACAGTGTTCTTGCTAATAACCTGTTCTACACATGGGCACTTACACAGTGGTTTCCATACAAGGCAATTAGAAACCTAGTAAATGCCTTCTTCTAAACACAGAAATAGAGATGCAGAACTTGAAGCGAATGTCTGTAATACAGCAAATAGCTAAATTCTTTATTTATTGGAAAGTATACCGAATATCAATTCTCCTATGTGGGTAAGATGTTCCATCATCTTTATTTGGCAGCTGGCAGACACCCTAGGAGAAAGTAAAGGAAGTAAGAAATTAAGAATTAAGTTAAACAGGTCTGAGATAGACTTACATTATAGGGTTGGGCTGTTCTCGACTACCCCAGTGCTAAACAAACTTTTAAAATACACAGTTCCAAATGCACATAGCTCTTGTTTGATCATCAGTTATCTTGGAGAGTAAAATTAAATTCTTACCGAACCGATCAAATATTTTATTAGAACAGCTGGACATCACTAGTACTGGGAACTGCTGCTGACAAGAGGACTGTAATTCAACATAGCACATAATTACTTCTTAAGTTATATAGCAGCAAGGACAACAGGAATTATTTGCCATTTTAACATGAGATTCACTAAGCCACAACTGCAAAGAGCTTTTAAGAGAAAAAAAAATATGAAAAATCCCACAACAGCAGCAGTCTAAACAATGTTTTTGTACATATCCTAGCTTTTGTCATGAGAGGTGATCCCTATCACATCCTCCCTTTCCCTGAAAGGTCTTACCATGAATTTGGTGTCACCTTTAGACAGCACATCAGTGACAAAGTGGACTTTTTCCAGTTGTTCTATAACTTGATGCAGAAGCTTTGACTAGGAACAGTAACAACACAGAAGAAGAAATTACTTCACTTACAGCAAGAATATCTTACCTATCTAGCTGCAGGACATCACATAATTACATAGCTTACTGACAGGAAATTTGACCAAGAGGAAAAGGATCAGAGCAACACTGAGAAAAAGCTAATAAAATTATAATGTTGAAACATGAGAAAAGTTTCCAGTGAAATCCATGTCAGATTGTATTCATTTAGAGTGAAAAAACTTGCTTCTTGGTTTGAGTTTTCAACTTGGAAGCAATTAATCTATAGAAACAACACGAAAAAATGGATTATCATTAGGACTGCCCCAGAGGTAGCCACAAAAGACTATAAGGGCAGCAGGACATCTGCTTCACCTCCAAAAGAAAGAGACTACATAAGGAGATACTTTAGTCCCTGCTTTATTCACATAGTTGTTACAATTCTACTTTGTACAGCATTTGAATTTAGGAGGAATCAAGGAAGAAGACTGAGGGAAGGATGAGAGTAAAGACACTGCTGAGAACACAACATAAAATTGCTTCTCAGATCCATGCATTAACTCCTCAAAATAAAAATGGTGATCAAACAGCTACAAAAAGATGCAGGAAACTGAAATGCAAGTCTGACACTACATATCACCCACATTTAAAATACCCTTCTGGAAATATTGCTCAGTACTAAACATCGTAACACACCTGTTTGGATGATTCAGATGTGAAAGTTGGATGGGTTAAGAGAACATCCATGTCACCACTCGACTCTGCACCTACGCAAGTAAGAAGCAAAGAAAATTCCTTTTACATAAGATGAGAAGTATATGAACACTGACGAAAATGCTTCTAACCTCTTCTGATAAGTACACATTTCTTGTACATAACAGTCGGTGAATTTTCCAGAAACAGCATTTGTAGCATAAACTTACTCTCTAGAAAAACATGTATTATCGTGTTTGCTTATTTGCCCAAAATAAAATACAGCAAGATCACAGTGTACCAACCTCGCCTAAAACTGCCACAGACTGTAGCAATATAATTTGGGTCCACATTCTTTACCTCTTTCAGCACAATTTCCTATGGAAAGAGGAAAAATGAATGTTTCAAGATGCCTGTTGTTCACTGGCCTTCAATGCCTCAAGTCTTTGACAAAGACTTTCTGACCTGCATTTGCAACATTTCTTCCCTTGGGATTCTTTTCTCAAAATCTTCAAAATACCTGTGTGCAGAAAAGTAAAAGCGTCTGAAATTGGGTATGGGTAGCATCTTAAAATTTTAGTCAATTAAAAGTAGTATCAGAAGAAACAATAGAATTTTTATATGACATCACCAAAAGTTCCCCATTCTCACCACAGAGAACCAGCCCAATCCCTGCATCTTCAGACAACTCTCCTAGATGTAGGACTTTCCTCCAATCCCACTTCAGGTGGGGTAAAGTGGAACTAGGGACAAAAGGAAGCCTGCAGAGAGCTGAAAACTATTCCTGCAGTTAAGTACTGGAGTAACATCTGAGCACAGTGCCAGAAGCAGACCCAAGGATGATACACAAGCTAAAAACATGTAGGAAACATGCACAAGTTGGGTGGGTAGTCTTATACTCCCTCCCTTAACAGTATTTTCCTGTGAATACTCAACATGTAAAAATGCATACAAAGTAT